GAGAACGCGGCCGCGCTCAGGGAGCGCGAGCCCTGTCCCCTGAAGCCCCCGAAGAAACTGCCCGAAAGTCATCTGCCGAGAAATCCACCTCAGTACCCGCCAGACCTGCCCGAAGTTTCCAGGAGAAGTAACGGTAACCTTTGCATCCTCTCTGATGACTCTTGTCTCCTGCTTGGGGCCAGTCTGTTTTGAGTGGACTTTGTTCCCACCTGTGCCTTTAGGCTTAACGGTGGCGACTCAATTTCCAGTTCACGCGCAAAGGCTTATGAGCAGAGGCGTAACTGTTGAAATACGGCCTGTAAGATGGAACGTTGAGGACGACGCACCAAGTTTTTCTTTTATTTTTTTTAACATTTTTTATTGATTTATAATCATTTTACAATGTTGTGTCAAATTCCAGTGTTCAGCACAATTTTTCAGTGCACCAATTTTTAGAGTGTCGCGGTTGAGTTTACTTTTCCGTTTAGTACGTATGTTAGAATGATGGGAGTACCACGTTTTACTGTGAGCATCTACGGGCACCTATTCCTCATTATCTTTTTTTTGGCTTTCCAGACTATTTATATAAATCAATCAGCCCATCCCCCCAGATAGGGAAAAATCAGTCAGCCCATGAAATGTTTCTGACTGAACAAAACTTACTTTCTTACCGATTTACCAGCTGCCACCATCACCGGCTCCTTGTCCCTGTTTCTTCTCTAATTGTGTCCCTTGGTTAAAAGAAGACAGAAGTTCTCTTGTAGCAAACACAGTTAATAAAAATGCCAGCAAAACTAGACGGGGAGGCTTACTTCCATATCCATTTGTTGTTAGCTCTTTAATTGATCCCTCTGGCTCCTGGCATAAGAGCCTCTGCTTATATTTTCGCGTCCATCCTGACCATTTTAATAAGCACATTTCTGTTCCTATTAAAAGTCACATCTTTGACAGTTTTTAATATGGAAGAATCAGTGATCTTTGATCTTATTTGAAATGTCTGAATATAAGTGATTTCGTATTTTTTACTTCTTGATATTGTAGAGAAGGTGGTAGATTGGCTGATTCTAATTAGCTTTATGGATTTAGTAGAGAAGAAACCAGACTGAATTGTACACGTTCCGTCAAGAGGACATTTCTACTTTAAAGAAAAGCCGGGGTCCCCTGAGTAGAGCATGGATTGGGCCACTGTGCACGCATTCCTGGTACCCCTCGTTCCAGCCCTCTGTGCCATTTCCCTGGCCATAGTGCACGTGCTTGAATGGACTCCTGCTTGCAGGGTCAGCGCCATCCCCATGTCCCCTCCCCGTGTCGTGTGGGTATACCCCCCAGATGATGTACTCAACCCGGTCTCCAAGAAGTCAAAGCCTTCCTTGTCTGAGGGGGTTTATGGCGGGGCAGTGGGGACTTCCTCCCCCTTTTCTGTCACTCTCGACACTCTCTAGGGCCCAGGTTGCAAAGCTCTGTGAAAGGGCGAAATGATGGGGTGAGTCTGGTTGGACTTTCCTCTGGTTTTGTGTGTCCTTTAGGTCTGAGGACAGCATCTGACATAGGCTGACTTCACATCAACTTAAAATCATAGATAGTTTGAGGGAATTTTGTCTGTCCAGGAGTGCTGCTTCTGTGGTCCATTGCATCCATCAGGTGTCTGGGAAAATGCACCTGCAGAGTGCAAAGGCAGTGGCATTGCGGACGGATGGATGGGAGGGGCCTTCTGCATCATAGTGCTTTGTTGTTGGTTTTTAATTGAACTATAGTTAGTTTACAATGTTGTGAAAAAAAATGTTAGGTAGGTGGCAGTAATTAGGTTTTATTTATTTATTTTTGATTGGAGGTACTGGAGATTGAACCCAGGACCTTGTGCATGCTAAGCATGCGCTCTGCCACTGAGCGAGATCCTCCCATCCATAATTGCGCTCTGGAGGGCGTGGCCCAGCTGTATAGTGCCAGGGCAGGGCAGAGGATTTGATTTCATGCTTCAAGGTCCTCTTGTCTGATGCTTGTGGCTTAATGCCTGTAATTGAGATTCAATGACCACGTCATATCCCATCACTTCAGCAAGTGTGACTAAATTTAATAAGGGAGCCAGTAAACACAGCGTTTGCTTATAACATTGTAGATGGTGAACCTGCCCGGAATCTTTTCTTCCTGGGCAATGACTGGTATGCCTGTAATGCTTTATGAAATGAAATGAATCTCTTGCTACAAGAACTTTTTAACAACTGCCTTTTGGCTGGCTCATCAGCATGTGAAGCAGTAGCAGGCTGGTTGCTGATCAGATCAGATCAGAGTTGATGAAAGAACCCTGGCTTTCCACCACGGTCATACGAGCAGATGCAGAGGTGCTAATTCTCAGTCCTGTATTTGTCTCCAGAAGTCCTAAGTCAGCAGGAGGCTCCTCACAGGGAAATCCATTGACTGACAGGTATTTGGTTCTGACTGTCTTCTGTTTAGATGACTATTCTAGGAAAATATCAGAGAGGTTAAAAAGTAAACAAATTGCCTGGCATCAAGTTAACCATTTAAACATTTTAAAGAGTTGAAAATTTAAAAAATAAGAACGGACTGAGAAATCTAGAGGAAGAAAATTGTAGTTTGCAGGTAGCAGACGCAGTTTTTTTGGTAACATTAAGGGTGTTGGGTTCTTTTGTCGGATTTTGAAGGGAAGCGTCGTAACAAACTGACAGGTGGTGACAGGCAGGGACCCCCAGTGCGCAGAACACTCAGGAATGAGAAAACCAAAAATGTAAGCACCTCCCGAGTCTCCACTTTCGACTTTGAGCGTTAGTTCTTTCCTTATTTTGAAAAGGATTGCACTTTGTGAAAAGCTTGTCGTTTTTATATTGAGATCCTTTCTAGAGTCTGCAGTCTTGAGAGCTGAACTCAGCCCACCTGATGGTCTGGGAGCCTCTTCAGAACATCCTTTCACTCAGTGGAAACACTCAGTGTGTGTGCCACGTTGTGGCCATTTCCCCCAAAGTACGCAGATATTTTCAGAAACACTAGTGACAAGACCACCTTTGGGGAAGGGGTCAGGGAGGTGACCTGTCTCTTGAGTGGTGTCCCGAAGCTGTCAGAACCCCTGAAGGCACCTGAGGGATTGTGTCTTCTTTTACTGAGGCAGTTTTTTTCCCCGAGTGTAACTTACTGTGTGTGAAGAAAGCAGTTTACTTTTCAATTCAAGTATAGTCAGTTATAATGTGTCAATTTCTGGTGTACAGCATGCTTCAGTCACACATACACATACATATATTTGTTTTCATATTTTTCATCATGGGTTACTAGAGGATATTGGATATAGTTCCCTGTGCTATACAGAAGAAACTTGTTTATCTATTTTATATATGGTAGTTAGTATCTGCAAATCTCAAACGCCCGATTTATCCCCCACCTCCCCCGGCCCCTCCTCACCGGTAACCATAAGAGGAAAATCTTCCAAGGTGTGTGTTAGTGGCTCTGGCTAGGTGCTCACCCTTGTCGGGGAGAAGCAGACTGTTTTCTGAACAATAGAAAATGTGTCATTCCTTTCTTCCCTGCTCTTTCTCCCATCTCCTTCTGAGAAGCCTGTAGTAAATCATAAATTAAAATTCCCAACAATAAGGAAGGCTGTTGCCAGATTGCTCAGGGCTGTTTCACACTCTTGCTCTCCGCGTCAGCCTGTTGGACAGCTGTGAAGGGAGCTGCATCTTCCAGGCTTGTGTTCCGTGTCCAGGAGCCCCTTGATGTCCTGACAGGATCGCAGGGCTTTGTGTGTAGTGTAGATGATCTTCTGAAATAGGTCTCTTTTCAGAGGTTTATAACTATTATTTTTTCATGATGTGATCAAAATAATAAAAACTTAGAGCTGAAGATAAAATTGCTACTGATCTCGGCACTCTAAAAGAGGACCAGTCAGCATGTTTTCTGTTGTTTCTGCCTATGGTAAAATAAAGGATAATGAACTTTTAAGTTTCCTAATGCCCCAAAGCCTTGAAATTAACAGTACGTGAAAGTGCTCACCAAATTAGATGGATACCTCCAAATGTTCTGAAATACAGTCTTTGCAGAAATTTAAAAAATCGTCTCATTCTCTTATAGATACTAATAACTGGAAATAAAGACGTAGTGGTTTGTTGAGTGCGCCATGCCGTTAGACTGGCTTCAGTAGGACTCTGAGCAGGATTCTGGTCAGTTTGCTTGTTCCTGTTCCATTTGTTTTTTGTCTTGTGGCTCAGACACTCCTCCTCCGAGGGATAAATGGAGGAAAGATGTGTAAGCAAGTGCTCTGAGTAAGCAGGCTTAGTAGGATGCCCTGGAATGGTTCTGCTTTTTAAAGGAAGTACATGTTCACAGCATTTCTAAATTCTTGAATATCGTCACGTTAGAATTTCTCAGAGACTTAACGAAGGACCTGTTATTTGAATTCATTTTGTGGTTTGCCCTGATTCTCAGCCCCACAACAGGCATTACTGATTTTCTCAGAGCCTGCTTTACCTCTTCTTGGGCATGGTTTAGTGTTGGATGTTAAATTTGGATCCTTCCTAAGAAGCTTTGATGACTCATGCCGAACTGAAGTGCTGTTCTTGACCTAAAGAAAATGCGAGGAAATCCGTTTTCCCATGAATTAAGACTCTGGGAAAGTTGTGGCACATTTTCTTGAGAATATCTGTGTTCTGTTCATACTGATGGCTTCCGGAATCCAAAGGGGTGTCTTAATTTCTGATTTCTTTTTCTGTTTGGACCCCGTCTCCCCTGCTCTTGGCTCTTTCCTGGGTTCCTTCATCGTGTTGGACGTTTTCCTCTGTGGGTGTCGAACGCCCAACACATGCGGGAGAGGAATTAACACTTCCCAGAATTTTTATAGTTATGTAACATTTATATAATTTTCTGTTAACCAAATGCAAGAGTGCTCACTTTATAAGTATTCTTTTTTAAACGTGTGTGTGTTGCCTCGAGTGAGTTGAGTTTGCAGCGTGAGGATTGCAGAGCTGGAGGGCACGGCCCGCCCCCTCGTGTCCGCAGCCGGCTCTGCTGCGGGGTCTTGGCGCTGGGGTCACCTCCGCTTTCTCAGGTGGCCAGGGTATCGTGAGGGAGTCTTAGTTAAAGAAAAAAGGAGAAGGTGTTGAAATACTTTCTGTTTCCTATGAGAGAGCTGAGGCCTGTTACCGTGGGGTTGAGGTTGACTTGACCTTATGTCGAAGTCAGGAATAGAAGAACAAATACGGATGAAATCACTTGAAAAGAATCTGGAAATATCACACTCATGATGTGGTTCCTACTGCGTGGTGACGTCGCGCCCAGAGCCCATCCCGCAGGCTGGCCCCGCTCCCGGGCAGTTGGACGCTGACCGCGGGAGAAGGCACTGCCCTCAGGAGGTTCATGTGTGAGATGGCTGTTACCCTCTGCATTTCTCTCTGTTCTGGTCACTTCTTTATAACAGACAGACAGGATAGGCAGAGATGGCGATAATTCATAAATAAGGAAACTGGGGCTCAGGCAGCTTAGAGACTGACTTTGAGCCTCGCGCTGGTTAGTGCCTGAGTCATACCCAGAACCCAGGATCTCACCCCTCTCTCTCCCTCCCTCAACTTAAAACAAATCGTGGTAAAATATACATAACATGAAAGTTCCCATTTTAAATGATAAAGCTCAGTGGCATGAACTGTTCACATCATTGTAGAACCATCACTGTCATCCATCTCTAGATGTTCTGATCACCCCAGACAGAAACTCTGTACCCATTACACAGTAATTACCCCTACTCCCTTCCCTGGCCCCTGCCATTCTACTTATCTCTATGAACTTGATGACTCTAGGTCCAAGTGGAATCACACAATATTTGTCTTGTCGTGACTGGCTTATTTCAACGAGCTTAATGTCTTCAGGGTTCGTCCATGTTGTGGCCTGTGTCAGAATTTCATTCCTTTTTTTTTTTTTCCATCTTAACCACTTGAGTGTACAGTTCAGTAATGTTAATTATATTCATATTGTAGTAGCATGAATTATTCTTTTTTAAGGTGTTCCCTGGTACTTACCACGTTTTGTGTATCCATCCATTCGTCCACATACATTTGGGGGGTTCTGCCTTTTGGCTTTTATGAATAATGCTGCTGTGAACAGTGGTGTGCCCCCATCATTCTTTCCTGGACCTCTTTTAATGGCTTTGTAGAACTCTTAATATTAAAAGTAAATTTTCACCTGTAAACAAAATCAATTTCTTAGAGCATTATAGGTGTCAAAAACCTTAAGTTTAAATCTCATTAAATCAAACGAGATCATTTGGTGTAAGGAGATTTAACTATGGGGAACACAAATGGAAATCATCAGCTAGAAATTGAATCATTTTTATTTATTCAAGGGAATAACCAGCAAGTGCCTGTCAAGAATGAAGCAGACAATTGTGAAACTTTGAAAAAGGTTGACACAAAGTCTTCTTCAGAAAAGAAGATTCACAAAGCATCTAAAGAAGACATGTGTTCTGAGAAACAGGACATACCTTCAGTCGAGGTTTGTATTTCTTTTCTTCTTGCCTATTAGAATTAAACCTATTTTTAGGGCTTAGCGTACGAATATCTGTGTGGTAACTGTACATCTATATTTCATACTTTTCGAAGGAGATAGCTATATATTTGAATTTACATTGATGATTAAGGTTGATATGTTCAGAGAGTTTGTCTTCTAATTATACAAGAGATGCTAAAATAATTTTTAGTGACATCAGATAGCTTTTACTCTCAAGGAAGCTGTTCTTAGGCAAATGGTTTAACTCCTGGGTAAAGATGCTAGAATAGAACCAGGGCACATATCCAGCATCCATTTTTAGAGCATAATCTTTCTGAGTTAGAAGCATAAGCTTTT